GTTGCCTAGTTAAAAAATGTAACCACGATAACTGCAGTAACCATGGTAACAAAGCCCAATATGAGCATAAAAACAGTTATTCAAGTTTCTATTCATCCAAAAAAAATCACAGTAAAGTAAATTAGGATATCACTACGCATGAATGTTGAATTGTCTCCCTTGGTTGTACCAGGAGCTGCTGATAGTCGTGTCACATTCCAGATTTGCGAAATACGGCACTCTTGGGCTCATTAAATGGAACACAATGTACCATCTGCTAAATTAAGCTGACGTAACTGATGTTACGTGAACACTTCAAAATTGAAGTAAATGTAACTCATTCACTCACTCAAACAAAATGTGACTCTGCTTGCAACACATAGATCATACTGACTTCACAGACCCAGCTACACAGACTGTGATACACATGTTGATGTGGAGATATGGTTAGAATCTTCAGCAACCCATGATTGTCCGAACAGGCTACTTATAGTTGTTCAGGCTCGTTGACTTGGTTAAAGCATATCATTTCCTGTTTGTGTAGATTGATGGCATGTTGTCAATCTCTGGAATGGCTGGTCCAGATTGTACCTGTGAAGATCCAGGTTAGAATTGGTCTTCAGGGCCTGGATTTTCGAAGCTCTCTTAGTGCTAAGATAGTTGTAAGTGCCATTCATTAGCATTGACTTACGACTATCTTAGCGCTAAGAGAGCTTCGAAAATCTAGGCCCAGCAACCCATACTTGTATTAAGAGGCGACTAACTTGATTGTGTGGTCAGGCTCGTTGACTTAGTTGACGCATGTCATTGTATCCCAATTGCTTTGATCAATGCTCATGATGTTGATCACTGGATTGTCTAGTCTAGATTTGATCATTTACAGACAGTCGCCATATAGCCAGAATATTACTGAGTGCAGTGTTAAACTACAAACAAACAAAAAGTGAAGCAGATAAAGAATGATGAAGTAGAAAACATTCATTTAAGATACGTAAACTCAGAAAGCAACTTAAGAGACTTGTTTCCTAGGAAACAACATTCTTGTATCTCTCTGCACTCTCACATACTCTTGAAAAAGCATTGTTTACAGTTTGTCAGAATGTTCATAAACAAACAGATTGGCAAGGAAGGTGTACATTTCAGTCTGGTGGGCAAACCTTAAAATAGCCAGTCACCAGAACATGTTCCACATGTAGTGATGAGCAATGTACTGTTATCTTCACATAAATATTTGACAATGTGGTACATTTTGTATCTGTTCTTACTAGGGGTTAGTTACACATGGCTCTCTATGCAAAGATAAGCATGCTCGGACAAAAACAATTGACGGATAACATTCATTTATACAAAATTTTCAAAAAACATTTATTTTACAAATGACCAGGAACCATTTATTACAATAGTATATAGATCATTTTAACAAAAACACATCAAAGCTAGTTTTCTATAAAAGGTCACTGTAAAAAAGAATAAATCACCTTGTTTCAAACAAGGATTGCCAAAGAATTTTCAAGAAAATTTGTTTCAGTCCATTTTTCATTTAATTATTGTATGTACTCATTGATCTATTATTGACATTTAAAAAGATGAAATATCACTTTCAAAATCTGACAATTTATCAGCATAAATCAAAAAATAACAACCAGACACTTCAACATGTGTAAACAGAAACATAACATGTTCGATATGCTTAAAATTTGTATTATTTTTGAAAATGTTAATTTTATAAAGTTTAAAAATTATTGGTCCAATCATCACTCCGGTTAAATAACAGTACACTGTTAATCTTTACAGAAAAAGAAACGAGGTTTGATACTCCAGTTTCTGACAGCGCAGAGAGAATATACTATTACCACTAAAACACTTGTGCACTGAAATATTTAAAACAAGTGCGTGGACCTACAGTGAAATTGGTCTTTGTTACTGTGCAAATTTAAAAAATTAAGTCAAATTGCATATACTTACAGCCGTAGCAGCTGAATAATATTTTGGCAATGAATTTGAGGTGATTGTCCATTATACCTTTTAAGTGATTCATATAAAACAAGTCATTCTAAAAATATGTCTCTATTCAGTCAATAGAAAATAAATTTCCTGAAAATAAAAAGCTATGATGTAATTGTAGGTGTCAAAATACTTAAATGCAGAATGAATACTGTCATTTTGTAGAAAAACAGACACATCTTCATATGTGATATGATCAGTAATTGAAATCACAATAGGGATCATAGTCATGTGCCAGTAATTAGAAGTAACATTCAGAAATGTATAAAACAGAAATATTAGAAGGCTGATAGTTATATATTCAGTTTTGATCTCTGAGAAACATATATCAGGAATTAGCTTCATATGCTTGTACAGAGAATTTAGAAGCCTCTGACTGGCTGATCAGAAAGTGCACCTGACGTGACCTCCTGAGGAAGGTCGGTGAGATCTTCATGCTGGGTGGTATCGGATCTGAGTAAACGATCTGATTCTAATGAGATGCTGGATGAGGATGTCAACACAAGTATTTGCAGAGGTGTACATGACGTACAATCAAGCTCAAGAGAAAGCAGATACAGTTTTGGAAGCCTGTCAAAACTTCCCACTAGTCCACAGGACCAATGAGTGGACAATAATTAGTGGTCCTGTCTGTACTTCACTGGTCCAATGTAACATTTGTAGATTTACTTAACTATCAATACTATTATATTCATTTGAACTTTTAACATCTTTTAAATGTTTAAAAATTCACTGGCCAGCAGCACCACTGTAAACTTATCATTTAGTGGTCCTGATAAATTTTTACTAGTCAGGGACCACAGGACCAGCGTAAATTTCGCTGCAGATACATATACCATTTGACCATCAAACTCTCCAACAAACTGCAGTTTAGTGTTTCCTCCGCAATAGAAGATGTGTCTGTTTCCCATTACAATGTCATTGTAAACATCTGCAATCACTACGCTAGATGGAATATATAATCTCTAAAATAACAACCTTGGTACATTCTAGCAAACATTCGACATAAACAGTGAAAGCCCTGTTGAATCAAATTCATCAGACTATTGTTTTGTAAACATATGATAAAAGATAATTAACCAACAAAGTTATTGTATTTTGGTCAGTCATAATCATGATAATAAATTGTTTAAAAGGAAAATCTATGACATGGACTACACTTTAAGTAATAGTCAAGAGAAAATAGATTAAATAGTAGTGTCATTTGTGCGAAGTGAGAGAATTTGGGCTTCATTGCTTACTAAAACACCATTTTCAGTATGTTCTTGAAGGTGAGTCAAGCTGAATGTGACGGAGGTACCTTTTAACAGGGTCACCACGTGAACACAGTCAGGAAATGCATATCTGCTTTCAAATATATGACCTGCTTTCTAACAGCTAAGGGACAGAACTGTGTAGTTGTTGTCTTTCTAACATTTAAGGGAATCTACTCTTTTGTGGCCGTCTTTATGACAGCTAATCGCCACCACTCTGTCATGACTTGCTTTCTAACAGCTTAGGAATACATCTGTTTAGTGGCCGTCATTCTGACACCACTCTGCAGTAACCTGTTTTCTGAGAGTTAAGACAGACAACTCTACAAAGACCTGATTTCTGAAGGCTAAGAGACACAACTTTGAACAAAATCTTGCAGTTGTCCTTCATATGCAGATCAAAACATTTCGAGCAAATAACATTCATAAAAGACACAAGAAAAGGTTAACTGTATATTTTAAATTAAGTACCTAGAACCATCACATCACAAAACGATGGACAAACCACATTTGTCATGCTCATTCATATTCCCCATGGAGCTGAGATTGAAATTCACTCTGAACCAATGATTGGTCATCGTCATATGGGTTTGGTGTGCTCTAGCAATATGACTTTAAATCAAATTTAATTGGGATGTGCATTAACTATATCCTCTCATTCAGTCTTGCAATGTCTTAATAATGTTTCTGCCAATTCAATGAAATCAACACAGAAATAGAATTCCATCTGCCATGACAAAGAATGTCCGAAGGCTCCTAAAATTGTATCTGATCAAATCTATGTCCTCTTCTATCCAATTCCAGATTTAAAAAAAATAGAAACATTAATGTCTTTAGATGATCTACATGACTTACACAAAAAAATGATGGTGGGCACATATCTCTTTTTGACCTTCCAGAAGACATGCATACCGAAACTGTTTCAATTCCATGTAGCACTTCAAGGCCGCTGTACAATACCAGTGTCATTGGTTCAACTCAATTACATGCTAGCACGCACAAGATGAATGCACACACACAGAGAGTATCCATATCAGCCTGCATTGAAAACTGAATAAAATATTATGAATAATGGCTAAATTTATAATGTAATTTGAAAAAATAGAACTGTCTTGTTTTCAGTTTTGGTGATCACTCTTTCTGTCACAGTGTCATTTTATGATTTTCCAATATAAAGTGTGTTTATCAGGCTCATAATGTTTGGCACAATCTGCAAGGAAATATCAACATTAACGACAAAGAGCATTATGGATTTCTTGCAGTTTCATTAAGTGTAAAGTATTATGTACAAAATCAAGTACATTGTGCTATTCTGTTCAAACTAATCAGATTGAAATAAGGAGGTCTGTGTCTGTGATATTGGTTGAAGGCTTACTGGAACACAAGCACCAACATTTTTGTGAACAATCACCAATGCCAAACCGTTAGACTAAGGCTTAGTCTCTGAATATATATAATTTTGATAGTAACAAACAAGCCCATTTAAATTGAAAAGGAGCCCTAGGGAGACCAGAGATTCAGAACCTGAGGAAATCTACATTGCTTTACTTAGGGCTTTAGCACTGCAGAGAGAGCTTGGCAGTAGGGGAAATAATGTGGTTCAGGGACTGTGAGACAGACTACCGGTACCAAACTGTGTGTGTTGTCATCTTTAAAACCAAGGGTGGGTAACTCTAATTTGACAACCTCAAAGTTAGATTGCTGTTCCTGTCATAACCTTGATTTACTTAGTAAAAACAAAATAAAAAGAAAATTGTGTCAGACTGTCATTTCACCTTTTATTGGCAAAAGATAGAAAGAAATCATAGAAGGAAAGACCAAAATGACATTTTTTTTAAGGGCCATGATGCTGGTCGCCTTTCCACATTAGAAATGACAAGCAGGCTTCTAGGACAAATACATGAATGTTTATCATGTTAATTGTGACTGACAAAAATACAAATCATAATCATAAATATATTCCAAAACATATACATATCTGGGACAAACATTCAGATATCATATGGATATATATCTTTATTTACATGACTAACATGGTCCTACTAACCATACTAACATCTATATACCTAGAACTGTACAATATCAGGACAGCACAGCGACCACAGCGTGATCACAGGCTATGTGACCAACATGCAGGTTCCGAAGCCAATTACAACACTGAACATGATAAACACTATATTACAAGGTAATAGACGGAACTACCATCTTGGCATTCTTCGTCACTCATCGCCAACACAAAGTGTGACCTTGTGGTCTTGTCATGAAAATTTGCTCCAAGAACATAAGTGATTGTAATGCAACCAATCCACCTCGGCACACCTAGTTTGATGTACATATTAAAAATGTTTCAAATTAATTATTTTTGTGTGTGAAATGTAGTTCTGTTGGTCTTTAAAATGAAATAGCCTGAAATGTCAAAATGTTCTAATATTAAACACAACGTAACATATGAACTGACATTGAAAGTTGAACCTGCGAAGATCTGGGTTAGAATTGATCTTCAGCAACCCATGCTTGCTGTAACAGGCGACTAACGGGATCGGGTGGTCAGGCTCGCTGACCGGGCTGACACATGTCAGACAGCCGCCATATAGCTGGAATATTGCAGAGAGCGGCATTAAACAACAAACCAACCAACCAACATTAAAAGTTGAGCTTTATCTTGCTTTTTCAGTGCCATTGGGGACTCTTCAGGGGCAAGTATTTGAATATAGTCTTCTCAATAAGATCTACATTAAAAATCCCACTAAAACTTAAAATTAAAAAAACCCAACCCAACAGTTCTGATGCAATTTCACTGAAATACTGTACTCTCAGTCAATAACTCTCATTCAAGTTTTGATAAGTTCTCGGGGGTTAATGTCAAATAAAAACTGGCTGTCGAATCAAAATGATACATGGATGGGGTCTTGAGCTCATCAGATGTCAACTTTCTGATACTTGAGTTTACTTTGTTCTCAAACTGGTTGCCTTTAACAGACATCATAGTATTTCAAGTTTAATTCCATTTGGAGGAGGAGAACTGAGTCCAGTCCTACCAGAAATGCTAACATTGTTCACTGGAAGATGTAACTGAAAGGACAGGTTTTAAGATTTCCATAAAAACCATGATCAACATGACTTTCCATTTGCATTTGGAACTGCCTGTTTGAGTTCATGTTAAGATACAAAAGTCAGATATGTTCAAATGCTTCATTTGCTTTCACAAAGAACGGAGAAGCCTCCATCCTGATAGGAAATGAACCTGATGATGTGACTTCCTCCAGAAGGTTTTTCAAATGGCAAGAGGCATCATATCAGAGCTAACTATCAGAGTCAGTAAGATTGGATTCTCATGAACCTCATAAGCAAAGGTCACTGGATTTATTTATATCTAAATGAACAAACTATGATCGCAATAATTCATGACTAGTCAGTTGGAATGAAGTCAACAAGTTGATTGTGATTGTATACTTAAAAATGCCGTAATTGTTATTGTCAAACAAATGTTTGTATTATATCAACAACGCTGTATCCTGTGTTTGCAATTACATTGGTCGGAAAGAAGTATCATTTACAGACAGCTGAAATATTCCGTTCACCATGCTTGTCATGATGATTGATCTTGTTCTACAATGGTCATATCAGTTCAAAATATGCCAACCAATCCACTCTTGAATTAATTCAATTGTTATTGATGTTAATCTTTTGTTGTTACGTCTAATGACGTTGATGAATTCACTTTTCTTTAATTATACAGGGATTTCACAAAAGAAATATATTTCAGAATATTTTGAATGAACATTGCACTAAAAGGTCTGATTTCAAAATACTTTTGGAAATGGCAAAACATACACCAGTCTGGACTCAAATGTATGAATGTATCAGCATGTAGAGAATGGTAGATGAACTCAATCAGACGGAGAATGATTTTGATTTAAAATCTTGTGACGGAGAGAGTCACCATTGATTTTCTCTGTACGCACATTGAATCAATAACCGTTCCCAGCACCCACCATCTTCTGACTAAAACTTGACTACAAGTAGATGTGTTCATAGTTAAACCTCTCAAAGGTAGTTGATGGAAAGCAGCACTTGCACTAACATCCAATTAAGTCTGAATGGGCTTATCTCATTAACATTTATGACAAATTCGCTAATTGCAGCGCCTTCTGTCCTGGTACAAATTGAAAAGCAGGGTAAGGGCCCTTTTTCAACACATTTGACAAAGTTACCTTAAACTGGTATTAAAATAACCAACTGTCCAAACAGTAGAAAAAAAGTGTGTTTTTTCCAATACACATGATTTTACTACTGATATGATCAGTTACACAACTGTGAAAAGAAGAGAAGATACGAAATTTAAAAGAAAATCTAATCATGATTAATTAAGATTATTCTAAACTGTCTGTATTGTCTCTACTTTAATTTCATGTACAATATTCCCGACATTCTGTTAACATTACAAAAAATCTTAACACTAGCCTTCTGACACATGGTGTGATGTGTCAGAAGTCAATTTCCACATATCTGTTTTAGTTAGAAGTTTTAAAGATATACCTAAGTAAGTTTTGAAGAGAAAATCTAGTTCTCATTTATTTGAATACATTTGATGATTATCATGATGATTTTGCAAAGTTGTTTGCTTCTTAGCTCATCCTGTAAACCAATAGAGGCCTCATCATCCTCTGCCCTAGGGCAATCACAGAGTTGCTGGTCTTGTAACATCTTCTAAATTGTTTCTAAGCATTACTGAAAGCTAGCTGAGGCCATAGCTAGTAGACACTGAAAGTCCATTAACTTGGCTGTCTAAACTACTGAGACATTTTTATAGATTCGGGGCAGCACAATTTGATTGCGCACATCCTCGATAAAGGACGAAGTGAGCTGGTTGCTGGAGAAAATTGCTATCGGACAAGTCTTTTTTAGTCTTTTTTCACACTTGGCCACAAAACTGATAAAGATAATTAAGTCTCTCTAATCAAGAAGAATGATTACAATTACTGGGGTTCTTTAGAAAAAGCCAATAGTTTACGGTTCTGTGTTGCAAAAATTCAGTGATGCAAGTCACCCTTCTGATTTCTAAACAAAAAAATGAAATACATTTTTAATGGAAATATTGTGTAAAGGTTTCAACTAGACAGACTTGAAATGATTTGAGCAGTTTCACACTTGACTTTAAAAGAAATACACATCAACTTTTGCTTCCAATGATCATGATTTTGATACGTGAATATTTGATTTGATTGTATTTTGATTTTCAGTCCACACCAAAAAATTTTTATGCTTGACAGATTTTTCTTGGTCAATATCAGAATGTGAAATTCAAATAAATTCCAGACAGACAGTTTGACTGGCCAGACAAATAAACTGCTCCCTAAACCTGACTGTCTCTTCCAAACAATTATTCCTGTAAAACCCTTAATGAAAGTCTAGATATTTCTCAGGTTCTGAATCACCCATCTCATTGGGATTCTTTTTCAATTTAAAAGTACTTTTTTCGAGGAAAATTGTGCATTTTCAGAGACTATAAACTCAACAGTATCATACTCTGCCAGTGTGTTTAAAACGTTGCCCATTCAGACAACACCCCATAGAGGAATTTAAGAAATCCACAGAGGACCCCAGGGTTCCCCTGAATGTTATGTACTGAAAACGACTGTGACTGAAATTATTTCAATGTGCCAATACTCTGAAGACAAAAGGCATGTTTTGGGTTGAAATATACACAAACATTACATATTCCTATTAACAACACACATCATTATCCAAATATCTTCTTCCTTTCATAAACTTCAGAAAGGTTTGTCTTTCAAAACAGCATTCAAGTTGAACATTGCACTCTTTAAAAAAGAATGCACATTTGGACATTCATTGTTTAGCAACTAAAGACAACAGTATAGAAACATTTTGCCTTGATCAAATCAGTATAGTTTCAAAATGGATAAGTATCACATAATAGCCTTATAATACTTAAGTATTAAATAACCAGCGCATGCAAGAACACCTGATATAGTAATGATCTCAACTAAAAACTACATTCTAGCTGCAACTACCGACGAAGAACAGTCAGGACCTACTCGAAAGACAGTAGACATCAACTAAGGCCATTATTTCTGAACTAAAAGGATACAAGTAAATTATGAACACTGCCACTGTGGGGATAAAGTAGTCCGTATATCTGAGTTCGCCATGAGGTATTTCTCTCATCTTTCCTTCATCTTTCCATCAATGAAAACCAGTGCACACAGGGCTTCTCAAGTTATCGTGCTCTGAAAACCAGTGTCAGGAACAAGAATAAAAGCAAGCATCCCGAAAATGAGACTTACATGTTGGCATCGTCTGTTACTTATTCATACCAAGCATCTCAAAGATAAAGCTTTCTTTTTCAATAAAATCCATAGTGCAGATATTGATGCCACTGTTCCCTCGCTTCTTCTTCTTCAACCATTGAACAAAGACAGGACCAGCTTTTGCCACCAGATCGTTCTTGAGACTTCCAGAGAAGCGGCTGATTATGTAAGTAGCATCTGGTGTAAGAACGCCTTGGTAGGTCTGAAATGTATTTGCCGGACGATTTTCACTGTGTGTCTTCTCAAAGAATTGGACCATCTTGGTTGGGTCAGTGGTGTTTGCATACTGTGATTGTATGCAGCTGGCAGGCCAGAACTGGTCAAAGTCTTTCACAACATCGTCCTGGTAGATGGCCACCACCTGGAACTTGTTCTGCCAAAGCATGTCGAGGGTCAGGGTTTTCATGTCCTTCTGAGGACAGATCTTGGCGCCAAAGGTTTCTAAGATTACCGCCATGAACTGTTTGTGCATTGACTCATTCATGCCATAGAAGTGGTTAAAATCCAAGATGACGACTTCCGTCGGATGTTCTTCCAGATAACCGTTTATTTCCTGTAGGGATGCTTCCACTTTGCTGCCGTACAGACAGTGTATGAAATAGGTATCCTCAGACCCTGGCTTTGAAGCAATGCGGAAGTCGTAATAGCGAATTCCAGCTTTCAGTTGATCTGCAAAGGATAAGCTTTGAGTTTGAGACCATTTGAAGATGACATCTTTGGCCATTCCCCCAAAGACCTTGACCAGATCACGGATGGCCTGAGATGTGTCTGGTCCCACATCTGAAGTCTTGTCCAGGTAAAATGTGAAGGAATCATGGGACCCTGAAAAGAGAAGGAAAATGATCAGATCCTTGCGTACGTGAACCACATAGACAAATGCATGGCCTTACCACAAGGACTAATATATGGCATTAACACATTGACAGTTTTATGACTTCACAGCATGGGCAAATATATGTCCTTTCAACATGGACAAATATATGGTGTTACAAAAATGTACAGCCTTACCAGACAGAGGAACAAAATCCTGACCACATGTAGAATATATACTTAATTTCTTCTCAGTCTCTGTGCAAACTAATTTGTTAGTATGTATCCTGTTGCTAGTGTTAGTCACTTCTCACAACAAGTGTGGGTTGCTGAAGATCAATTTTCACCTGGATCTTCAAGTGTCTTATCAAAGTTTAAGGTTAGATAAAAAAGGTAGTTGGCAGGATATTGTTCGGAGGTTAAGACACCATAAAAAATACCCTAAAAACTAGTACCCCGAATGCGCTCATTAAAACAGGTGGGTTTTTTTTGCTTTCCGGGATACAACATTTTTGTTTGTTTTTTAGCTCATGAGCTCAAATTATGATATCCAGTTTGAATGATTCACCCAAGATGTTTAAAAACACATGGAATGTAACATTAAGACTGGGATAACAAGACAGTTTCAAACAGTTACTCTTTTAAGTGTTGCATGTTGAGATCTTTTAATGTTAACCCATCTGTGATGTCATCTTTTTATGTAGCATTTATTCAGAGTATTTTAACATTTTCCTTCCATTGTTGGTATGGGTCTCTCTCAGTTCGTCTCAAATCTAAAATAGACAAAATTGTTAACACTGCAAGTAAAATCGCTGGAGTCAGATTTGAATGTTTATCATCAATATATGAGCGGCAAATAGTGAATCAAGCTGTCAAAATCATATCTGACCGTACTCACAACTTAAATTCGGAATACAACCTCCTCCCTTCAAGCCGCCATTACAAAGTTCAAATTGAGAAAACTAAGAGAGCCCATACATCCTTTATTCCAAGTACCATATCTCTCTTAAACAAATGTGAAGATACCTAAATCAAAGAATTAATGTAAATATGTTTGGTATCTCTCTAATGTGTCAGTAGCTTTGCTGGTGTAACACAAATTCCTGAAAAGGCATTAAAGTATTATTCTATTCTATTCTATAAACATTTTTTTGTACTTTTGAAATAGTTGATTCATTTAAACAAAACAAAATGGGAACATAGTGTATACGGTAATCATATTTGTGTATCTTTTCTGTATTAAAGCATAGGGATAAACTTGCGATTAACCTTTGGTCCCCAAAAGTGATAAATCATGATACTAGACCTGAAATGGCTAGAAATCCATGTGTTCCATGAAGTTAAACTATGTATCGTATCTCAGTTGATCAAAGATCATGATTTTAATCACTTGGCAAGACTTGATTTTTACAGACTACCATCCTATAGCTGTATTATTGCTGAATGTGGCGTTCAACGACAAAGTTAAATCAATGTAACATGAACTTCATTCAAAATACAGACATATGTGGTCAAGAAAGTGAGTGAGACTAACCAGGGCTCAATTTAGTGCTTTGTTACTTGCACTGATGCAACCCAATACTACAAAGTGCAACCTAGTTATTAGTCCAATTTTTGAGACTTCAGCTGGAAAACAGAACGATGAGGAACTGATTTGGAAGAGTGACTCTGATGACTGTATGAGCAGTGACTGCAGGACTTCTTGTTCATGAAATTTTAGGAAGTAAGATAACGAATCTTATCAGTCCCAGATTTCCTTTGTTATAATGTTCTAAACTATCATTACCAAAACTCAAGCATCATTGTTTATGTAAGATTTTATATTGAGCAGCAGGTGCAACCTGTTTTTATCTGATGCAACAAAGTTTCTACCTAAGGTTGCACTAGGTGCAAGTAGGTTTAATTGCTTTTTAATTGAGCCTTGCTAACATTAATTTCACAGCTATAGTCATTCTAACCAAATTGTGCTCTCACTTTTACTTTGCAACATTGTTCCATGACATCTTTTGGAAATTTGTCCACAATCAAACCCATTTACATCCTCGATAATCTCCAGGCTATACGTTACGATGACTCTTCACTATACCCTGGATGCATCCACGGCTTGGCCCGATGATTTTATTACCTCCCTTTGCTGTCTTTTTATCCAATCAGGTGTCTACGCTGGGAAGTTGAGCGAACCAATCACAACTCACTTTCGCTTCTTAAAGTATCTAGCAGTTTAAACTTGGCAACAAAATTAATGCAGAGGTACTCTGAAAGAGGTAGGAGTTCTTTCAAATAATTTTTTAAAGTTTCAGATCTGTCAATTTGTCTGTATGATTTCCCCCAGAATCTGAGTGTCACTGCGAACAAACCTTCGCGACTACGACCGCTATCTTTGTTGACACTGGCAAGCTCGGATGTAACGGCGGCTTAGCTGATTGGCTACTGTGAGAATGCGGAGCCAGCAAAGGGAGGTAATATAATTATCGGGCCAAGCCGTGGATGCATCCAGGGCATAGTGAAGAGTCATCATACTGTATAGCCTGGAGATTATCGAGGATGACCCATTTATAGTGTGTATGATTTGTAAGGGGAACTATCTCTGGTCACCATGACCTCGTTCTCATCATACTTTATGGGCGTGGTTGCAAGGAGTGGTGTGATACATCAGAATCAAGTAATGCTGGTTATCGCTCACAATATGCAGATCGATAATCAGAGCTCAGTTATCGATCAATAATTGATTGTAATCGTAAACTCCACCACAAATTTCATGTGGGCAATAAATGGACACAATCATAAAATTGTGCAAACGAAACCGGCGCTGATTAATGCCATGATCAAGACGATCAAGCATACTTCCTGAGACATGCACGCAAGCATGTTGTTTATGTTGCAGTTTTACAAGTCAGGAAACTGCATCAGTTGTTTGTCCTGATTTAACAAACATAACAATTACAAACGTTCTTTCTCAAGGTTTAATTTGAAATTTCCTCTTTATTATTATCGAATAATCTCACAAGCCCTGACAAAAGCAAGGTTGATTATTTGATCAATCGTTCCAGCACTAGCATTAAGTTTACTTTTTCAGATTTGTAACTTCAAAAGACATGACATAAATAATGAAAATACCCCTACTACCCAGTCAATTTTGAAAAGTCATCAGGAACATTGTGATTGGCATTACAACTAATTATATAAATATCACAATACAGTGTCACTGTCATCATAAGTGAAAAAATATTTTTAAAGCGGGATAGTATTTGAGGTTAGGCGACACCAATTTATTTCTTGTTGTCCTCAGAAAACCTAAAGCCAGGAGGGAAAAGAAGAAGTAATATTCCTTTTAAATACTAAAAGTATTTTACTTTTGGCAATTTATGAAGTGTATACGAGGCCAAAAACAATCTAAAAAAAGTTTACATTTTTGGCCAATGAAAACATTAGGATTTTGTTTTTTGAGAGGGGAAAATTAATTTATTTTATTTTCTTAATCTTAAAATAATATGTCCGCCGGATCCGTAAAACAAGAAATATTAATGGTCTGGCTGAAACATGAAAAAAACATATTTCCATAAGCAATATTACCTGCAAATATATTGTTAACACTGCAGGAAACCAGGATAATTTGAATTTTACAACTTGAATAAACTGTAACAATGGCAGGTTTGGGGCAAAACTAATTGTACTATCAACAATGGCCTCAGACTAAGCATCCCAAATTGGTGTCAATTTACAGTAAACAGAATGCCATAAAATGAAGGTGAACTGTTCCAGGATAATTAATTGACGACAAAATGTTTATTTCAATGCCACCTTGAGGCTAAATGGGTTACATGTAGCATCTGTAGACAGTAATTTGTTAAACAGGATTGCTCATTAACTTGACATGGCTGTTGATGGCTCTCTTTCTAATCTTAAACTGTCCTGAGATTAGATCGCCATAACATCCTGGCAGTTAGTGAAAACATATTTCATTCTGATTCACTACATCTTTATATCAAATTGTCAAAATTGACAAATTTTGGAAATTATGTCAACTGTAATTAACCTGAAACAAGTTCAACTGAAATTTTGAGTGAGTGAGTGAGTTTATTTTTACGCCACACTCAGCAATATTCCAGCTATATGGTGGCGGTCTGTAAATAATTGAGTCTGGACCAGACAATCCAGTGATCAACAGCATAGCATCGATCTACGCATTTGGGATATGATGACATGTGTCAGCGAGCCTGACCACCCAATCCTGTTAGTCGCCTCTAATATGACAAGCATGGGTTACTGAAGATCAATTCTAACCAGGATCTTCACAGTGAAAAGTATTTGATTTCCTCTTTCCAACTATGAATATATGTTCTTGTGAATAGTCCCACTGAATACATAATGCAATTTTCTCCCTAAAAAGATGGGTGTGTACATAAGGTGCACATTATACAAGCAGGTAGAGTGTTGATGTTTTCCTCCCGGTAAAACATTACCTGTAGCATGTACACACATACCTCTCAACAAAGCCATAGTGAAATTTTCAAGCTACTCTTGAAATTACACTATTTTTTATTTAAAATAGTTTGATGTTTTTCAATATTCAAGCATATCGATTTATAAATTTTGGTGATACTGTGTATGAATTGAGATGCAGGCACAATCAATCCACCTTTATGTCAAGACACTGAGACAGAGAGTTTAGTTTTATGCCGCTTTCAGCAATATTCCAGCAATATCACCGCGGGGACACCAGAAATTGACTTATATAATGTACCCATTTGGGGAATTAAACCCAGGTCTTCGGCGTGGCGAGTGAACACTTTAACCACTAGGCTACCCAAGACACTGTGATTAGGTTACAAACAAAAAGTATGGGAACAACCTATAATTTGATAGTCATATATAAACTTAAACGTGGTAAGGTCATTTATACTCTAAGGTAAATGCAACTTTTTGTGTGCTTAATGGGCACCTTAAACGACATGTTGGAACATGCAGTGAAGTAACTGATTCAATATTCGTTGAGTTTGAGTGAAATGAAA